TTGGAATTCCTGTTGCTGAACAATGGCCAGTTCCTGATGCAGGAATCCCTAAATGCACCATAACTATAGGTGTAAATAAATGCTCACTGGGGCATACAAAAGGTTTATAGTCATTAGAGCGGTCAACTGCAGTTTGCATAAATGTGTGTCAGTTTTCAGGATTTGGGGCCTCTCTGGAAATAAACTGAAAAGAAGTACCTGCTGTATGAACCAGAAGCAAGTTTCGTATACTTCTAGAAGCCACAGGTACACTTTACAGGTGTCAAAGGGCCAAAATTGTGGTCACAGGTGTATTTTTGTGGACGGTCTCTGCAACTGCAATATCCATACATTTTAGTTGGCAGAGTTTTTTTGTGCCTGTTCTTTCTCTGACACAATGATATCAAGTAACCGATGAAAGGGCAGGTTGAGTAGTGAAGTGACCCAAAAAGAAGACAATGTTGTGTGAAGAGCAGTGAAAAGCTGTTTACTGTACCGTTTACTCCTGAAACAATACTGCTCAAGTAAAAAAATCTGTGTTCTGTTTTATAGCAGCCTGCTTAAAAGTAATTTTTATTCAACTCTTTAACTTGCAAGCTTTCTGATTATTGTATTTGTTATACAGGTGTGCAGTTCGGCAAGAGCCTACAAACTTAAAGTATCATTAAACCCTCCGTTTTTTTTTTGCATACATCTACTGCCAGCAAGGGCAAGTAGATGCAGGGCCATCTTTAATATTAATTGGACCCTGGGCAAACATTTTCTTGGGCCCCCTGCCCCCTACCTGCCTCTCTCCCGCCATGCACTTTCGCTCTCCAAAAAGAGCAGATAGGAGGAAACCTTAGAGGGAGAGATGACCCTGCATGAGACGTCGCGCTATGCGGCGTACAGCAGGGGCCTGAGCAACACTATGCAGTGATTAGGAATGCAGAGCATGGTGGTAAAAAACACAGCACAAGGTAGTAAACAACGCAGAGTGCGGCAATCCCTGTGCGGCCGCACTGCTCGCACACCCCTAAGGCCGGCCCTGCGTGTGTATATTTTGCAGGCTCAAGGGGCAGCTGCTTTGGACCCCAGAAGAATGACTGGGCCCCGGGCAACTGCCCCTTTTGCCCTGTGTTAAAGACTGCCCTGAGTAGATGTATGCAAAAAGTGTTTAAAAAAACGATTTAAAAAGGTCAATATGTACCTGCGTCTTCCCCGCACGCTCCCGTCCGAAAATGTGAAAATTCTCAAGCGGCTGCAAAGCATCTTATGGAGGGCGCATGCGCAGTTCACATTTTCGGCCGGGAGGCGAGGCGAGACACAAGGTAAGTCTATGGACGCGTGCACCCGCATGCAGACACCGTGGGACAGGAACTGCCAGCAATGACTAGAGGAGTCAGCGCTGGATCGGACACCCGCCGCACCACTGGAGGGACAGATGAAAACGACAAGAAGATCGGATTAAGAGACATAATTTAAGGTAAGTGCTGACATTAACATTGGGGGGGAGAAAAAGATTGACTTTAATGTTAGTAAGTCACTAGAGGCTTAATGGAACCAAACTGCCAATACTAAGCATTTGAAAATGCTTGTTCCCCTGGCTGTATCCTGCCTTCAATGCTTTGTGTCACACATCCTAAACAAGCATTCAGAGAAGGACTGATTATATGGACAGTGGCTCAAAATGTAGAAGCCAGAAGGGTCTGCATAACAGCCAGACAATAAGAACTTTTCAGTCCCTGCACATCTCATGACAGGAGACAGAAATGCATTCATATTTTAAAAAAATTGCCATACAGCTGCAGTTTTGGGGAAAACCGCTCGTTTTTCATTCGATTAGTCCACACAGAAGAATTTTAGATTGGAAAATTACTCTTAAATTCTGGGACCTAATTAAACTTAAATGTTGCATTAAACCAAGTTCCTCTAATGCAGCCTCTCTCAACTAGGGATCTGTGATAACCTTGGGTTTCTCCAGAGGTTGCTAGCGGCCCCTCAAGCTGTAAGCAATGGTGGATTTGACCTCTTGACTGAGGACCAGAGTGTCAAAGGGCTTTTGTTTGCATCAGAACAAGTCTATGGGAAGGCAAAAGCAGCTGAGACAGGTCAACTGTAGGTCAAATGCAAGCAAATTTTGAAACGGATGTGAAAAGCATGCTACATTTGCCCATCGAAAGTCCATCGACATAGGCCCTTCTGGTACCTGCACAGGACAAGGGATGTCAGCACTTGGCAAAGAGCCTCTCTTTTCGTCTCACAGAAAAGTAAAAACTAACAATATTTTAAGCCGTCTGTGAGGGTGTAATTTTTTCCCACTGACCAATAGAAAAGTGGAATTCTCTAAGGGTCACCACACACACACACACATTACAATCTGGTGGTACAATCACTGTACAATCAACTTTAGATCTACCAAAGCTGTGCAATATGAGGACCTACGTAAGGTGCCCATACACCTTACGATTATCGTACGATTTTCGTATGCGATCGACTTTTCGGCCGATAATCGTATGTGTGCATTGCAGTGTCCGACCGACAGTACAATCCTACGACTTTTGACAGTCAAGCATGCTTGAAAACTTTGCTAGATCGTACGATAGTCGTAAGGTTGCTGGCGTTTCCGTCCGTCAAAAGTCGTACGATCTACACTGCGCTTGCGCTAACGAAAATACGGCAAATCAATTACCGCATTTCGTCCAGGTGCTTTTCGTTAATTACGGCTAAATTAATCTTGCAATCATCAGGGCAGGATAGGGCTGCCGTACGAAAATCGTACGACTATTCGATCGGACAAAAAGTTTCGTCCGATAATCATAAGGTGTATGTGCACCTTTAATCTATCCAAATCAATCTGTATACAATGAGCTAGGCCCTTGTACTACACATTTGTTGGTAGATCGAAGGGCTAGTTCACACCAGATGCAGTTCTGATGCAGTCCGTTCAGGTTGGCAGGTGCATCAAAAACACATCACAATGCTTTCCTATGGGATTTCTGGGGCTCTAGTCACACCAGTGCAGTTAGTTCAGGTGCAGTCAGAAAAAGTACTGCTTGCCACATATGATTGCAACGGAACGCATGCAAACGCATAAAAAATGGATTTTTTTTTAACCAGAATGGATATCATCCTGGGACTTTCTCTTAGTGGGCAGTGGAGATTTACTATGAAGGGAGCATTGCAGCCATCTGTGACATGGATGCAGATGTGTTCAAATATGTGGAGACGTGTCCACTCCTCTGTGACCCCGAGCATCCGCAGTACAAAAATAACCACTAAAAGATGGGGAAGTGGTGAGAGATCACCGCAAAAAAGTACCCTGATTTCTCCACCATGAATAAGGTGCAGAAAGAAAAATGTGGGGAGTGAAGTCTTTCAACAGTTTACTTTAATGTTTTATATACAGAATTGATACTACCCATGTACTACAGACTATGCATAATCTTTCACCCGTTTAACCCTCCTGCGAAGATGTTGTCTGAGAATGGCTACAGCCAACACTAACAACATCCCTGCAAAGGAAGCCTGTCTGAGCTACAACTTGACGCCAAACAACGAAGAAAATCGCACCGACAGGAAGAAAGAAGTGACATAACGGTCTAATTTTAATTTTCATGTAAAAAAAACACTATAAACAAAAACGCAACCGTACAGCAGCTGCACAGACACACACAGTTCTGATGCAGTTATGGTGTGAACAAGCCCTAAAGGAGATGGTACGATCAGATTGTAATGTGTGTGGTGCGCTTAAATTGTCAAATGCATTGGGGCAGTTTTCTCACTGACTGCTAATGTAACTGAGAAATCTTTCCCCTGACCCCATGATGTTAGGGGGCCCTTCTCAATGGACCATCAATGTAAGGAGCACTACAATTTTCTATATATCCATTTCTGGAGATTATTAGTTTGTCTTGCTAAAAATAAATTTTGTCATTCAGCAGTGGGTAAAAAAAAAGTATCTACAGAATATCTACAGGTATCGAAAAGAAACCACATTCTTTATGCTTTTATTTATTACCAATCTACAACTTACTGATACATTAGTGAGATGGAGATACCATTTTTAGCTGGAGTTTCTTCAGACCTAAGAATAATTTCAAGGACTAAAAAAAGGTCAAGAAACTGTTCTATCCATGTCGATATACAAGAAGCATTAAAAAGGGCCTTTTACACATGTATACCTGCAGCATCATATACTGCAGTCCATTTTTTTGCATATTACATGGTAGGTTTAGAAAGCATTCCTATGCATTTTTATTATACTGCCATGTGCATTTTTAACATCCATCAAGTTTTTTTTTCTCAATGTGCTAATCTTAAAAAAAAAATTATTATTGGCGCCGAAGCTACTACCGAATATGCAGTGTGCGAACAGCAGCGGCAGCCACTGTTCACATGTAACTGCTCATACTTTAAAGAAGCGATGCACTTATGCTGTTTTTTCAGTATTGCGTACCGATATATTTTTTTTTTAGTACTCGCCGATACCGAATACAGATACCCAAAGTCCCATAAAAGGAAGCTGGGTGGCATGTAATGACTCGCTGCCCGGCTTCCCGATACTCCTGATACTGGAACTTCCAGGTATTTGGGTGAGTACGAGTACTCTCCCAAACACTCGGTATCGGTGCATCCCTACTATATATCAAAAGCCAGAACTTGTTTTTTCGGTTTTGAATTAAGTGGGTAGAAGTTCAACCAATGTTAGCTCTTTTTTTTTTTATAATTGGTGTTCCACTGGGGAGATGTCCCTTTACTTCCTATTTTATATGCACAAGAAGCAAGAGCAAATCTGGAAAATTATTTCAAGCAGTTGTCACTCCAGTATCCCTATTGAAAGACTTCTACTCTTTTTCACTTCAGTGACTTCTCAAAAGATGGGATTTTCCCCATACTTTAAGTCCCAGTGACAATAGTTACTAAAACAAACAAGAGGGTTACAACAATATAACAACAAAAAAAGCTTAAGATACTCTTTATGCCTCCAAGGTGTACAAAGTTCATCCAGAAACAGTGAAGACATTTTGTATTAAACTTACCACATTGAATTCTAGGTTTTTATCAACCCATTCCTTAGCCTCCTTGAATTCCTCTTTCATGCCCATGATGAACAGTGTGTCCAGAGAATCTACAATTGTTGCTCCTTGGATGTTGCCTAAAACCAAGCAAAATTGCCACGTTAGGGACTCAGAACACCTACACTATAACTGCTACAAAAAAAATTAAATATATATATATATCCACTGTACATATATATATATATATTTATTACACACACACACACACACACACACACACATTTTCCCCCCAAATACAAACATTTGAGAGATCAATGAATGATGCCAAAATTCTATTACAAAGTATTTATAGTCTTTGTAATTTGAAACTTAACATAAAACCATGTAAGGAAGCATACATTCAATTCATCACGTATTATAGAATATCAAAGATTAGAAGCAAACCTATAATTTCCATAAAAGCTGTCAATTTACAGCATCACTGCAAAAGAAAAACTCAGGCGCCAGCACATACATCTAGATAGCATATTCAATAGCTTGGTACCTCTAAAGCCAGATGTTCTCCGATATACAAATCTCTACTTTCCTGGTAAAAAGAAGAGGGGCATTATCCACAATCCACCCACCTTCGTCACATTGCAGAGGTGTGAATGGAGGCTAAAGCCTAAGCAAAAATGTATAGGTAGGTAAAATTGCTCACATGCATTTCAATTGTGTATTTGACTGCTTTGCCCAATACTGTTAGACAGACCCAATTATTACTGTCTGTCCCCATAGGCGAGATATCCATGTTTAGGTATGGTGCATAATTTGGATAACGTCAGTCAATTGATTTGTAAGCAGAAGTAGCCCTTGGCTGTACTCTAAAGGGATAAAGCAGTGAGCACATTTATATGACTTCCAATATTAATCAATTACATTAACAAGTGTCTGGATGTACTGATTAACATTACCCTTCGTTCTCTTTCACAGTTAAATGTTCGCTTAACCTTGGTCGCAGAGAAGATCCCAATGTGTAGGTTCTGTTAAAGCTCTACCCAGGAGATATGTACAGTAAAAGCCTTGAATATGAACTGTATGAAATTAATCATTCTTATGGATTATTCTTACAATGCACCAAGGAAACAAAGTCATGATATTCAGTATGGAAAAGGATTATGTAATAAACCAAAAAGCCTCGTACGTTTCTAGCCTGGGCTTTATCTGCATAGCTAGTTCCTAAAAAACAAATATTTCAGTTAGATATGTGCACTGCAGTTGTATTTTGGTCTTGCTTTACTTTCTAGGTGTAAATGGATGCATGTATACGTGGATATAGATAGATAGATAGATAGATAGATAGATAGAGATATATATATACATACATACACACACACACACACACACACACACACACATAACATATATATAAATAAATGTTCAGTACACATATTTTTATGAGTATATTTGAATATCATTTGACATGCTGTTTTATGGGAATATATTTTAAACTTTAATAATGACTACCATATAGGTTATATTTTAACCTTAAGGTAACAAAGGTAACACAGATCACCAAAATGCGTAGGCTCTCCCAGAACCTTCAATAAAACACAGGACACACAAAAAGCATGTGGATGGATGGGCCAACCAATAGACAGGACTGTCCAACAGACAGACAGTGCTAAACAGGAGCAGTGAGACATTTACTAAAAGGTTACAGCTTAATTTATAAATTCCCACCGAAGCTGCTGAAAAGGAGCACTGTGATAGAAACATTTGACCCTGAACACTTAAAGTATATGTAACTGTTACAATTGACATGTAATGGATTATTTTATTTTAAAAAGGAGCTTGTAGTTGTTCCTTCTTGTGTCACTACCCTGTTTTTACTTGCATACACCTGGTGATCCTGCCAAGTCTCCTCCCTACTGTTGCGGTCCAGCCACGCTAGGAACGGAAGGCCACCTGGTGTGGTCAATTTGTGTGCATTCTTCTCACTAGGGAGCTTCAGGTGCTGATGCAAGGCGTACCTGTAAGTCCCATAGTCAGATGCTACTTGGCCCTAGTGTTTGTATGTGCACACACATAAGATAAGGAGCTTACAATCTAAGGTCCCTGAGGGCAGGGACTGATGTGAATTTACAGTATGTGAAGTGCTGCGTAAACTGTCAGAGCTATATAAATACTTGGTTATTAATAAAGGAAAACCTGGAGAGTTGAGGGCATAGTTGTTCCTTTGAAAATCCAGTGATCATGCCTGTACACAGTACACATCAAGCTTCTTGTGACTGGTACTTGCACAGAGATAAGCCAACACGACTTCCCACATACCGTTCTCTTCCAGTACGAGTCCCATTGTCAGTCCAGATATTGCTGAAATTCAAACAGCAGTGGTATTTTTGAGGGATAATTTGGGATGTCATCGGGAAAGAGGGACTCGAGAATTTTTATTAAGATGGTGACTATCCCGTGTGGTCTGGGAGAACAAGGGGACATATTAGTTTTCACTGAAGCCAACCATTAACTCTACATCTTACTGCCAGAGGAAGCTATTGTATTAAACCTTTTAAAAAATAGCACTCATATGCTAGTTCTTCCCACATGCATAAACTTTAAAGAATTGCTAAGTTGTTAAGTTCCTGGTTTAATGTACATATAATGGTATTTCCAGAAAAAAAGTGAGTCAACAGACGTGAAAGCACACACCGGGGAAACAGCATCTGTAGGAAAATACATGAAAATGTATCAGGCTCTAGTATTTTCTCCATTGCAAAAGCCTTAAAAACGGTGATCTCCTCAGAGGGCCATTTTAATTGTGCCTATGCCGAAAGCACCTTAGTTTTATTCACTGCTGTAATTTGTTGTGTTAGTTGTAGCTGTGCACTAACATTTTGAAACACTATTAAAGCACAATGGGGGGAATTTATCAAAACTGGAGCAGACAAAATCTGGAGCACATTTGCACTGCAACCAATCAGCTTCTCTGTCTCATTTTCAAATCTTACCGTAGCAAACTGAAAAGAGATGCTGATTGGTTGCCATGGGCAACTACTCCAGATTCTGTCTGCTCTAGTTTTGATAAATTCCCCTCAATGTTTTATTAATAGAAGAGACATAATTGTGTTTCATAAGGTCTAATCTCGCATCTCCCCGATCATCTTTTTAGCCCCTAGAATAGTCAAGGGGCAGTGGGCTAAATAGGCAAAAACATTATAAGTCCCAAAGCCTGCCCGCTAACATTTAATTCCTTGTCAAATTTGAATGGTTTCACAAAAGATTCATACAATGTTAGCCCATCACACATTTTTCTAATTGGATTCAACTATAAAATGTGTGAAGACTAACAAAGTTTTGTAAAAATATTTGTAAATAGACCTCTTAGGCTCCATTCACACAGGAGCGGTTGACCGTGCACATTCGCCTATACGAATACACTCAGAACTGCTCTAAACATAAACAATGCACTTTATAGTGCAATGTTCAAATTCTCGTGGCAGCTGCACGGTATGAAACTGTGCGTCCCGCAAAATAGTACAAGAGCAATTTTATGGCGTATTCCGCACGTTCTGTGAATGGAGCCCAAGTGTTCTTCAGGCCTTTGATTTATGGATATCAACTTTTAAGGACGTGTCTTATCACATGTAACAGCTAAAAGTGTAGCTATACAGTGCCGGAAGTGACGTACGCGGCCACCCGGCCTGGCCGTGGAACACGTCCCGAGGCCCTGAGAACCGGACAGACCCCTCTGAACGGCGGTCCACCGTTTCCCCTGACCAGCCAAGGGGGTTTCGTCCTCCCGGTACCGGCCCGCACTGGGCACTGAAGGGGGAAAGGAAGCCAGCCTCATCTCCTGCAGCGCTAGGAGAATCCCTGGGGCTCCACAAGGTAGGCAAACCTACCCCTCTGCCTTACACAGGCAGGCCATACAAGGAAGACTTCCCGGGCAGCATCACCACATGGAAGCCCTCTCTCAGCGTTCTGTGACGCGCTCCCCAGCTTGACTGAGGAAACACAAAAGACTGAGGGAGTGGAGGGTCTTTTAAACAGATTAAGTGACGTGTTTCCTGTGTGTGGGGGAGGAGATTCCATCTCGTGATGCTGTCCTGGAAGACGTTATGGGAAAATGACATTCACTACAGTGTGTTTCTAAAATGAACAGGGCAGTTTGTTTTATTGAATCCTCCCATAACACAACATTTTATTACCTGTTAATTCAGCCTGCATATAATAGGATTTTTCTCTCACTTGTAAAAAAAAATTTGAGAACATTGCAGGGTTATACTGCCACCTTCAGGAGATTGAACACTAGCAAGCAAAGATGTAAAGACAACCCAGTATAACCCCTCACACTCCCAGCAAGCCTCGGTTTTGCAGCAATCAATAGCAGTGAATCGTAAAAACAGAAAAGGAATTTAGAGACAAGCCAAAAATCCTATTCTCTTATTCATACATTTCAAGATACAGGCTTAAGTATTCTGGAACGTTGGGACGTCCAAAAACATCCCAGCTGCCTGAAGCACCTTACCACCAAAATTGGTATGCGCCAAGGCCTGAAGGTTCTTTACAAGACAAGGTCACTAACTTAGAAACTTGCCTAGCTGAGGTGATGGCGATGAGAGAGGCAAACGTGTGAGTAAGAGCAACCAGAAAAGGTTTAAAGGGCAGTCAGTGATGGACAGACAAGAGTAGGTTGAGATCCAATGACGTTTCTGGGGAATGTACAAGAGGAACATTCTGTATGAAAGTGTCTGAAGGTTCTCATTCATCCAGGTCAGGGTTTATCCGTAAAAAATAAGTCAAGGCAACTGGACTTGCTGTATTTTTCTTGATGACGTTTCACTGGTCATCCAACCAGCTTCAGAATTGAGAAAGCTGGTTGGATGACCAGTGAAACGTCAAGAAAAATATAGCAAGTCCAGCTGCCTTGACATTTTTTTTTTTTACAGACATTCTGTATGAAAGCCTTTATTACTAGCTGCCCTTAGCCAAGTGCAATATGTGTGGCACTTGGCTAAGGCTACATGAAGCACCATGCTACAGGTAGCACCCAAACCTAGATTTTAACCTCTTTTTTCTATTTTAAACCATTCATCAAAATGCATTCTAACACAAATGTGCCATTCTTCTAATTACAACCACTTCATTTCTTTTGGGG